GGAATGCTCAGGATGATGTTTAGGTTGCATCGGTCGTAATAAAGATCCATTGAGTCCAGCATACGGTTTGCGTTTGCAGCAGCAACCAAACAGGGGCTCGGATCCAGACTATGCCAGCCATTTGCACCGATTCCCCCTTCCCACTGCAGGAAACCCCACCCCCCAGGTCAGGGTCTCCTATTGTCCTTCAAGCAGCATTTTGTGGAGGTCAGTGAGAGGGGGGAGGCAGACAAGGTCCCTTCTGCTGGTGAGAAATTAAGCCTGGACCCAACCCAGATGCCACTAGGAAATTTCCCAGCAGGGAATGAGGGCGGTAGCTCACCCTTACTGTACCAGCAACTGGTACTTAGGGACATAGACTGCCTCTGATAGCTGCTGTTAGATCCATCCGTCAGGCTTTGTTTAATCCCATCAGTGAAATATATAGTGTATGAAGAAGTAATGTCTGTCCTAAGTCTACTTCCAAACAATTTAATTTAGTGACCTGATGTCAGAGTCTTAGAAAAGAAGTCAAAAACCCCTTTGGACAATTCTCCACAGCATGCATAATGTAATATATTTCACAGTATCATAGAGTTGGAAGGGAGCTCCAGGGTCATCTAGTCCAACCCCCTGCACAAGGCAGGAAATTCACAAATACCTCCCCCCCTCCACACTTGCAGTGACCGCTGTTCCTGACCCCAAAGTGGCAATCAGCATTTCCCTGACATGTAAAAAAGGGCCACAAGAACTAAGCACAGAGGCAACCCTTCCTGCCCTCCCTCTCGTGATCTGCCTAAGTTCACAGAATCCGATTTGCTCGTCAGATGGCCATCTAGCCTCTGTCTGAAAACCTCCAAAGAAGGAGAACCCACCATTTCCAGAGGAAGCCTGTTCCACTGAAGAACCGCTCCAACTGTCAAGAAGTTCTGATTTAATTTCAACCCGTTGGTTCTGGTCTGACCTTCTGGGGCAACAGAAAACAACTCCACACACCATCCTCTAGATGACAGCCCTTCAAGTACTTATTTTATTTACACTTATATCCTGCCCAAGGAGTTCAGGACAGCGCAGGAAGAGACAAAACTGCGTGCTTTCACAGAGAGGAAGTGACGGACGTGAAAGAGAATGGCTGGGGGAAGGACAAGGCGGCTAACAAGAGGAATGGAAACGGCCTGTCTGTCTTTTGTACAGCCTTGAAAACGTCACTGGCTTGACTGCCAAAAAGGGCAATTAAGTTAGGCACCTTCTAGGCAAAGCCCACTCACAAGGGGCACAGAATGGTGGTGAGCAGGAAGGGTGGGGGGTGGATACTAAAACTGCTTTACATAATCATGCCCTGCCGGTATGTATATTTAAGCTGACTGAAAGCTGCCGCCTCATATCATAAAAGGAATTATTTCCATGAAACAGAATGGCACGGCTTACAGCCAAGCTCTCTTTCTTTCATGCTAAAAAGCAGCTGGAGGGGGCAGAGGAGAGGCGCTGTGTTCAGTGGAAAGTGTGGTGGTGTTTTGTTTTGTTTTTTGGGGTAAATTTTCATATAAAACAAAAACCTTCCCCTCTTATACAGTTAACCAACAGAAATGTCTCCCTGAGCTGTATTAGCTACACACAAAAAAGGGCAAAAGAGACCGGTACCCATATTGTACCTGGATTCTTTTCCTTACCCCAGCTAACAACAGAGAAATGTTTTTAAAGGGGAACCCACTACCCCACACGCCCCCAGCACTGTGCCCCCTTCCAAAATGCCCCCCCCCCACACACCAAAGGCTGCTTTTTTAACATCAACGAAAATGTTGGGAGATGCAGTCATGGATCTCCCACACATCGAGTCATCCAGACCTTAGGAGCTACTGCAAAAATTTTAATGGAAAATAACTCACAGAAAAAAAAACATTTTTTAATGTAATGCAGCATCTCTGAGCATAAAAGAAGATTGGATTTATACCCTGCCCTTCACTACCCAAAGGAGTCTCAGAGCAGCTTACAATCTCCTTCCCCTTCCCCTCCCAACAGACACCCTGTGAGGAAGGTGGGGCTGAGAGAGCTGTGAGAGAACTGCTCCTGAGAGAACAGCTTTGAAAGGACTTGTGACTGACCCAAGGTCACACCAGCAGCTGCATGTGGAGAAGTGGGGAATCAAACCCAGTTCTCCCAGATTAGACTCCACACTCCTAATCACTACACCAAACTGGCCTTCAAAGTTATGCAGCAAAGCCAACAGAGGTTTGTCTCAGCTCTGAAGCTTGGGATGACATCTCCACTTCTGCTGTGGCTGTGGATGAGCCAGGTGACGGCAGAAATAATTGAGACACGGGCCTTAAAAACCAGGAGTGGCTTACAATGCCAGCCTCAGCAGTGTTACACCTTCCTAAGTCTGCCGAAGTTAGAAGGATGCAGTTCTGCTTCGGATGGCACTGTTAATGTGGCTGACTACTGCCAAGCACAAAAAGAATTTCTTACCTGTAGGAGGGTCGCCTGGAAAGGATTTCTCTACGTTTCTGGGAATCTGTGACACTGTCTACAGATTCTTGTGAATCTTCACTTTCTGCAATAGTGGAGATCTAGGTATAAGAGCACAGTAAGGTTACCATCTGGAACGTATTTAACAAGAGGCAAAATTTCGTCCAAGTGAGGGCATCCCTTAAATAATCTACAAGATGGGGAAGGGTAAAAAAGTAAGTCTACTATTTTTGGACATTCTGAAACATGGAAGAATTTGTTGCAAGAACTTGGGAATAAGGAATTCCATCCAGTAGAGAGGGCCCCACTTATTTTTGTCTCTCTCTCACACACACACACCCCTGTTCCCTCAGAAGCTGGGTAAACAACAGCGGCAGATGGCAGACGGGGATCCCGTATGAGGAGGTGAGTAGCCTATGCCTTGGATCCTAAGCAGTGCGAGGAAGGCCCTTCCCAACCTCCTCTTTCTCACTCCAAACTTTTGTTCCTCCCCCATGCCTGGAATTGTTCTCCCACAGGTCAGGGGTCTGAAAGGAACAGTAAGAGTCTACCACGGGGAGAGTGGGGAGGGTCAATAAAAAATCTCCCTCCCTTCCTCTACAGACAGAAAAGCCATTCCGTTGGAAGAGCTGCTGCTACGCTGGCAGAATGGAAACTGCCTTATATGGAACCAGACCCTGGGTCCATCGAGGTCAGTCTTCTCTACTCAGACCGGCAGCAGCTCTCCAGGGTCTCAGGCTGAGGTCTTTCACATCACCTACTTTTAGCTCAGGGTGTCGAACTCATTTGTTATGAGGGCCGTATCTGACATAAATGAGACCTCTTTGGGCCAGACCATGTGTGTCATAAAATATAATGCCAGGTAGTGGAGATATAAACTTTATAAAGGACACAGACACAAAGGGTTGGTTTTTTTAAACTTAAAAATAAAAACATGCTTAAAAAATTAGCACGCTTGCAATATTTTGTTTATTTAACAGTGTCTGATAATTGACACCTCTTGCTCTGAATTATTGCATCAAAATGTCTGTGCTGTTGCAATCTGAAGTATGCTGTGCAGGTGTGTATCTGTCAGCTGCAAACCTACGATGATGCAGCAGCAGCAGAACTGGAAGAAGAAGCAGAAGACAGCCAGTTCCACTGGGGGCCTGATAGAAGCCCTCTGGGGGCCTGATTTGGCCCCCGGGCCGCATGTTTGACACCCCTATTTTAGGTGATCCTTTTAGAAGGAGACACTGGGGATTGAACCTGGGACCTTCTGCATGCCAAGCAGACACTCTACCACTCAGCCACAGCCCCTCCCAATTCTTAATGACCCGACATACAATGTAAAATTAAATGTGTGGCAAAATTCAAAAGGACGTATCATTTTTAAGTTTTTCTTCTTGGGCGGGGGCTGATTTCTGAAGACACTGGCGAAGCTACCCCTTGCTTTCACACAGACTTGTGGGACATGCACAGTTTGAGATCCGAAGGTGTTACATAATATTCAAGCATAGTCGTGAAGGATTGTGAAACAACAGATTTGATATTTC